GTGGCACGAAAATGTATCCATAGGAAAGAGAAGGAAAAGCTGCATCGAATGCATGTTGAAACTCATTCAGGGCTTTATTGTGCGTGGCTTTATAGTGGTTTAAAAAAACGGACAAAACTTTCGGGACAACCCAATAAATGAACTGTGCAAGAGAATTGTTTCGTTTGTCAAGAAACAATTACTTTTTTGCATTTCTTGAAAGAATCAACCACTTTACCTAATCATATTAAAATTTCCGAAATTCAAAGGAAAATATTTTTTGTAGCAATCCTTTGAAAAAATCCCTGCGACCACCATTGGCAGAACATTATTGAGGATAATTTATCCGTTTATAATTTATAATTTATAATTTATAATTTATTCTGTCCGCCAAGACCATCACTTCCGGTGCGGAACCCCAAATAGCGGTGTTCACAGGGCCTCTGAGGAAGACGAAAGGCGTCGAAACGTTAGACCGTGATTGGAAATAAAAGAACACCTAACAAACCTGTTTGGCACAGAGAAGTACTTCTACTATACGAAATATTGAGGGTATTTGTTTTACGAGGATGTCTTTACAGATCTACTCTTCATCGTCTCATTTTTCTTCGGTAAAATCTTACCAAACTATTGATCACATACGCACCGTTGTGCCTGACAAATCACTATGTTTACATGAGAAGGCAACATGAAATTTGCTATCAAGTTTCTTTTTCAATATTCAAAAACCTGGGGCTTACCAAAGTCAAGCATTTAGTCAAATAGCGATGAATCGTCGCAGACACAGATCGGAACTATGTTCCCTGCTTTCTTTCAATATATCGAAGGTGGAGAGTATAATATCAAAAACATGCTCACAACCGTTTTTTCAACGTAAATCCTGTATATCCGCTGCGTAGAAGACATTCTGAAGGCTGCAGGAGTAATCCTATCAATGTTACTCAATACTGCTCTTTTCGAATTCTGCTAGTAAAAAGCAAAATCTACGGTGGTTCTGCTCTGCTACACGATTTTACGTTATTATGTAAAGAAACCAATTATATCTTTGGAAAGCTAGCACAAACATTTGAATACTGATGGCAGATTGATCTAAGTGATAATTGCGGTGCACGTTGAGACCGCACATCATGTTAGATGGACTCCTGTAGAGAGAAGATTGGTATTAGATAATCACAAAAAAATCCTGACAAGAGCATTATAAAAAAGGGAAAATTCCCCTCTTGTACAATTGATTTAGGTTGCGCGAAACAAATGAAAAACTAGTGCAAGCATCTTTCCTATACTAATACATTTGTGGCGGAAAACTCAGTCGTCTGAAACACTGCATAGAAGCAGGGCCTGGAACGAACATGCATGACACCGTTGAAAATTCATCTTCTTGCACTTTCAAATTCAGCGGAAATGTTCCTAACGAGGTAACGGTCAGGACTTCGCCAGCATTACAAACACGTTGTATATCGCATTCTCTTTGGAGCACTAATCTCAAACTTATGTTCATCATCTGCTAGCGAATATCTGGTATTATGGAAAGTCTGATATAACAGGACTACAAGAGGATATATTCAACTGGTAAAACAAACATTTAACATGTTCATTTATCAAATTGGACATGTGTCAATGCTATCTCTTAGTGTACATCTGAAATTTGCAAGTCACAAAGAATATGTAAAGCAGATAAATGTGTAGTAACTTGAAAATAAAGGACTGTGGTATTTGCACGTTTAAGACACTCTCTACTACATCTCATTGCTTCTACTCCAGTACGAAGTCCTGCTTGTCAGCATGACTTTTGTGTCGCTCTATTGTCAAACGGCGCGCCGAACATCAAGCTAGACGTAGTGACATGACTGTGACTTGCACAGCTGACTAGTCTAATGATAACCTTTGCGCAAAGGTTTCTCCTAATAGTTACTATTTGAAATTGCAGAAGGAGTAAGTTGTACACATCTAAAGCTTCCCCTCGTTGCAATAATTTCGTGAAGTAACAGACACCAATCCTAGAAGTGAGGATCTTAAACAGCATATCTTACTGCTTAGCTTATGGAGTGACTTTTTGCAGTCCTTGGATTAGTTTAGGCCATGATTGACATTGACGTTGCTCGCATTTTTTACTCTATTTTTATCTTTTATTTCATTTTACACTCAAGGTGCACCAAAGAACATTTATCGATATAGTGCAAACAAAAAAAATGCTAACAATAAGTAACATCTAGTTGCGAAAGGCTATGTGTATGCATCAATTCTTCTTGGCTATAAACTGGTGTACCTTTCAAGCAACACAACACTGATTTCATTAAACTGAAGGCGATATACAGGCTGTCCCAAATGTATGTATACACTGTTTGATCTTTGATATCTCTCTTCCGAAGAAGTCTTTTGCCTAGCTTTAGAGACCGTTTTGTAGGGCTGGCTTCATCTTACAATTAGGCGATATACAATTACACTATGGAGCGAATCACCGAGTGCTCTTCATTACTACCGAATTATGATAGGACCTATGAGAAGGGTTTTGAGCAATTGCGGGCTCTACTCCGTTTAAAACGCAAACCAAACAATCGGAAACTTTTACAGTAGGTCAATTAAAGCTACTGAAACCAGATATGAAAATTGCCACTTACCGCAGTGCTTCCTTTATGAGTCACGCCAAGTAAAACGCAATAGTTGCTTTCACAATGTTCACTGATGTTGTGATTACACCGTTTGAGATGCCTTACAAAGTAATGAAATCAGCACGCATGAAAACCCTAAAACGCCACTTTTCAGATTTTTTTAAAGCTCTCTTAAAAACACGATGAATCTAGGAAGAAGTTGCACGTTGAAACTTCTTACCACAATACAGTAACGAAAAGCGACTGGTGATTCGCTCTATATCGAAAATCTAAATTGAAGCTAACTCTACAAAATGGCACCTGAAGGTAGGCAAAAGACTTCTTGGGAAGAGAGATATTAATTGGGACACCCTATATATTGCAGTTCAGTATTTCCTTACTCCCGCACAACTTTCTGCTCTAAAAGCTTTTTCTGGTTTCTTCATTCAAGTATTGAAAAAACTGTTGCAGGTGGAAAATGCATTCGATGACGTACTTTAATCGAACAGATGCACAGCTTCATGATTACTGGAAAACAGCCTACGCGATTTTTTTAGTTGACATGATTCTGCAACTTGTCAGGTAAGCATGCCATATGTTTTCTCATTTTAACACTAATGCAATTCATATAGTAACAACTTTTTTTCTCCATTGTTTTTATAAAGACACGCTTACTGCCTGACCATTCAATACGCCATCATTCACGGTTCAAACCAAAAGTCAGTTGATTTCTTGGTATTTTTATCAAATTCCTCCTCCCACTTGCGCATTGGGATCGTCCATGGTAGGGACAGAGAAGACTAAGAAGAGAGCTCTACTAATCAGAGTTAAACAAGAAGCGCTTGGAGCTCTTTAACCGTATCCACCATCTCCGGGAGCTAAAAAAGAGGGATAAAGCAAATTCAGGCAAACGGGAAAAATTTGGTGAGCACAGATGAAAATGGCTTCCTTGCACCATGCTAATCAATTCTAAAAATTGTTTACGAGTACTTAAACGTCGTCGGGGAGATGGGACTAGAAAACTAGCGTTGCTGACTTTTCACTCAAAAAATCAGGCCGTCCAAACCTTTTTATCATGACGGTTTTGATCTTCGATCGCTCTGATATTTTACTGGTAGACTGCTGTTTTTTTCTGAAGGATAAAGGACTAGAGTTCGGGGTCTCCAATACCTTGTGTGGGAATGCGCGAAGCACTCTACTTCATCAGATAAGCTACGAATGCGTGTTAGCCTTTTACAATGAATTGCGCTTCTCAGATTAACCTGAAACCAGTTCACTATCCCATCGAGTAGAGGGCTTGGTTAGCCTAAGGATGGCACCTAAAGGGCCGGGCATACTTCTTGCGATTTCAGTCGCGACGCAATTTGGCAATATTCCACTGTCCGTAACTCACTGTAAGCACATTTTGAATGTACAGAAGATAGGGCATTTTGTCAATCCACGTAAATTATACACACTATGACACTAGACACTATGCATACGCAGTATGCTAGTGTTGGATCTGAAGACTTCTGGCGAATTGCCAAATCGCGTCGACTGAAATCGGGTGAAGTATGCCCGACCTTTAACCTGGGTTTAACCCAGAGCCCGGCACACGATGGGCAAATGCTGAGCTGGAAATCGTTTTGGATGGAAAGCAAAGGGCATATCGTAAATATACGTTTACTTGTGCATACACTCAGTCGACAATTTGCTACACAACTAACATGCAAAAACGCAATGTTGCTCGCCAGTCATCTTGAGCGTCTCGGTCACAGCTCACACATAATCGTATGACTAAGAAATTGGAGTATGAATGAACTACGGGAGTATTTTGCCGAGTATTGTGGAAAAATCATGTGACTGAAGGTTGTGGCAAGCTTTCTGAAAATCACTACCACAAAATAACAAAATGGCTCGTTTGAAACACACAGATGAGAAGGTGGCAAGATTTGGTGTGTTACGCTGTACTAAGGAAAAAAAGCATGAAAAATTACGAAAAACTTATGTAAACAAAAAGGCAACAAAATTTTTACATAAACTTGTTTTACACTCCAAATTTGGTATATGAAACATTTTGTTCCAAAGCTTCCCCTCTCCTTCTTGTTAGGATCCGAGATAGCAATGACGCCGATCATCACTTGTTCCCTTTTTTGGCTAGCAAGAAATCAACGAGTGACCAGCGAGTAAAAGGCTGGAATTAGCTTTTAATGCTGTCTAGGGAGTTGCAAACTCATGCGAACAGTTTCATTGTGCACTATTAAAATAACTTTTGAAAACTTATAGAAAATTCGGATTAGCCCAGTAAAATTTTTTGCTGGCGTCACAGGCCTCCTTCTTCTATAACTGCAGGGTTGCAACTTTGTATCTGAGAAGTTCCCAAAAATTGCTGACTTAGTCTATGTTTTCAGTTTCTGCATTTATGTATTAATGCTGTATCTCTGCTTGAAGACAATGTGGAATCAAATCAATATGCGGAATGTATGGGCTCTAGCTATATCTCAGTATATAGTCAGCATTGTAGACAGAGTCGTACAGATTGCGCTTGTGGTATCTGACTTGCAATCACAAGGTATGCAAAAATCGAGGTTACCATATGTGGAGAGTTTAGTTTTTAGTTTGTGAGAATGCTCAGATCAATGCCAAATTTCAAATATGTCCATATAGCTAAGTTTTGAGCCTTACCTCGTACGTTTTTTTTTCAAAAGATTCAATAACGGCACAGCGAGTTTTCTGTGTTTTCGCGCTTGTACAACTGGCTTTTCGGGATTTTTGAGCTCAATTTTTTGTAATCAAATTCATATCTGGTCTCTTCTTTGATTCGTATCAATGCTGTGCTTTGAAAGGAGACTTTCAGGAGAAATACTTCCAACTCTCTGGAAGCAAGCAAGAGTAGCATAAAAAGATATTGCAGTAGTTTGCTTCATTTGCGTTTTTAATGAAAACTGACCTACTTGAAAAGAAAAAAGGGGTTGTTGGACATTTTCAAGATAGCTCTTTGATTCGTGGATGGGCCTATTGAATTTCACGACCTATTACAAAATAGAGAACACAAATGCTAACCATTTTATTGTCGCACCACGGTGGATCTTTTGTTCCGATCTCTGTCTCAGAATCCACCTACTTGACGCTATAAGCAGAAGAGATTGACTGTTTACAGCTACAACCATACGACATAATTTGGTACATGAACGGACAAGATCTAACAAGAAGTTAAGAGATCTTGACAAAACTTGTGGTAGAGGGTGTACATTTTTATAAGATTTCCCTCTTTTGGAAGGAGGGCTTGCTACGCAAAAATAACGATATGGCACTAAATTTGGGGGGTTATGCGTTATGGGGGAAAAGATTGAAGTTTGAAGTTGTACGAAAATTTTAAGCGAATGATAAATGTGCCGACCAAATTTATTTACTCAAGGTGGCAACTCCCACAATGTGCCACTCTGAGAGTGGCAAAAATTTACGTAACTGCTTCATATTTCTTCATAGGCATATTGGGAATATGTTTTCAAAACTTCCTTCAGTTTTGTTATGTAGCGAATAGCATTGGGTATTCGGTTCTTGCAGGGAGTACTCCAACAGATTTTAATTTCTTCGGCTGCTATCATAATCAAATAATAAAACCTTGAGCAAAAATCACTGCGCGAACCCTCTTCCCAAAGGAAGAAACCAATAAATTCCTTTTCCAACAAAATCTCGTTAGCCCTTTCCACACGGTAAGCACATCATGCCTGCTTTTTATAAAACTGACACCAGGCATTCGTCCACGGTTTTCGATAGTTTTATACGCAATAATCACAGCTTTTCATGCTCCATATCCGAAAACAGCCATAAAAAGCCTTGATGAAAACAAAAAAGATTATTTGTCCGGACGCTTCCTTTAAAGCGCACTGTAGCGAGTTGAAAATGGAGGTGGTAATTTCGCTATCCTAAGAAAAGCTTTTTTCCAAAGGGTGAGCCTGATTGCGCGGCGTACGCATGGGCTTTGAACTTTTCCATCCCATGTTCGTTTGCGGTAGGAAGTGGTTGAAATCTGTTGTCGCTCGCGTCATCTAGGCCCGTAGTAAACCCCTCGTGGTTGTCACAACATAGAGGGACTATGTCGTGATAGCTCGGAGTATCTCGCAAGACTATAGCGAGCTATCCGCAGGGCGCCGCAAAACGAGCGCCTCCGCGCGTCATTGAACTTGTGATGACCGCGATAGCGCAGCGGTCACACGCGCTGCGCTATGAGTACAGATATGCCGTGGGGTATTTGCTTAGCAAGGCAAGAATGTAGTATACTATGCTTGCCAGAGCAGGTAAATCAATCAAAGGAAATCCAATAACTAACTATCCTCGCGTGTGCGGCCTCTTTCTCCATACTTTGACTCATTATCTCATGTTCTTCAGTATTGATAGGAAAACGCAGTTGATCTATGTCTGTTGCAGAATTATGCTTATCTTTGTACACCATGCTGTAAGAAGCGCCATTATCCGCTGTGGCAGGACCATATTTGACTGTTGCCCTCAATAAAAATTGGGCGTGTCAGCTTGTGCCAGATTCGTGCCAGCTCCGTGCCAAGACACAGATGGTCTAGCAGCGCGCAAATTCGCTGCGCTGTATGCTACTACGCCGTGCTTTGCTAGGGAGAGGATACATGTAGCAAGTAGAGCAGTTGCAGCAAATCAATATGGGAAAACGATATGCATGCCTTATCCTATTGTTGAAGGGTTAGCTACTACTTTTGCAATTATGGTGAAACAGCTCAACAACTCAACATAGCTTGTAGTTAGCGCAGTGCCAGTGTGAGAGGCCGGTGTGCTAGACGTTGGGGGTACAAGCTCCAGGTGACACCATCTTTTTTTTTGCTGGCAAACTGAATTTTGCAAAGGAACGTAAATTAGAATTTTCTTTTTGAAAGAAAATGGAATTTAAAGTAGAATACACATTGAAAGTGTACAAGAAAAATCAAAATATTATCATCGGCATTCAGTCCGTTCAAAAATGGGCTATTCCATTAGCCATAACGCCAGACGGTGCTTTCTCATAAAAACGAAAGGAAACGAGAGGTGCATGGCTAACGAACAGCAACCAGCAAAGATATGTGGTCGAAACTGCCAAGAATGATGAAAAGATCAAGAATTTGCGAAAGTTTGGCACAAAGAAGGGACTTTTTGCTCAAACAAGCTGCATAGCAAAAATAAAGAAGAAAAACTGCATAGGTACGAAAAATATGGCTAAGTATAAGTCTAACATACTTTTTAGTTAAAATAAACTCACCTTTTTTCAAATACCAAAGCGGCAGCAGCAGAAGTACTTGGAGAATAAAGAGAGGCGCATTGCTCGAACAGTTAGGCGCTTATCAGCTGTTGATATTGATTGCGGTTGACGTGCGTTATAGAGAACTGTGTGCATGTGCGACCTATTGCGAGGTTGGCGTAGTCGAGCTCTAGTCTTGCACTATGTCTCTGCGTCTCTATGATGGACAAAGTATTTCGCCGTCTTGTTCGTCACGACATGTCGCAATATGTCGCTATATGTCGCGATATGTCGCGACATATCGCGACAAAGTCGAGCCCTGACGCTACGCATCGATTGCATCCGCCGGCAATGATAAAGGATAGCCGCTTTGTCAGCCTCGCTCCATGATAGTCAGCACATGTCACAGCATACTCCGAGCTATACGTCACGACGTCCGGGGGGTTTACTACAGGCCCTAAATTTATTTGACCCATCGCAACTACGAGGCAGAGCGATGTGATAAATTGACCTTACCTGAGCTCTCGTTCGCGAAAAAATATGCGAAAAGCCTATTCAGAATGAGGCAAAATGGGATTTCAATTCCTTCTAAAATGAGATTTACCTCCACTTTAAATGGACTTGAAATCTCAGATGAGATGAGAGTGACTGTATTTATTTTGATCTTACTACATATTTGATTGCCATTTTCTGAGAATGTGTTTTTTAGCCCATTTCAGGATGAGTAGTAAATGAAGAAATATCTCTTTTACGAAGTCTGAAATAAGTGTTTTTTTCAAACTCATTCAAACCACTTCAAAAATCATGGAGGAAGGTTGAATTCATTTATGTACCCACTAACTTGACTGCCTTGAAGTAGTAGCTTAGTGCGAAAGTACCCGTGTGGACCTATAACAACATTCAATCACGAAATTCGAAAGCGTTTGGAAGCTTATTTAGGCCAGACAACGGACAGCTGCTCTATAGAACTATCGCAAAGCGTGAACGTTCTTCTTGGAAAACGTATGCGTCAGCACTAGAGGCTTTGCAACTTTAGAATGTAACTCTAACCAAACGACTTCTAAAGGTAGTTTTCACAATGGATTTGGTCGAGATACCGATGATGCAAAAAACATCACAGCGAGTGAATTATTGGGAGTCCATGAGCAAGTAGAGTGGAGAACACTTTCCTCCGTCTATACAGGATGTCCCAAACGTATGTGTACACTGTTCGATTGTTGATATCTCTCTTCCTAAGAATGTTTTTTTGCCTGCAGTGCATGTTAATGAGGAGCTCACAAGTCAGTAGCTCTTACGCGTACGCATCGCAAGGCTGATGCGCTCCGTTCGCGTGCGTACGGCTTGGGCCCTTGCCAACCCTCGATCGATGACGTCTGTGGGAGTTGGCAAAATGCCCTGCCGTTCGCTCGCGCACGTGGCGCACGGGATTTGCGGCGCGTGCATGCAAATCGAGAACTGCACAAAAGGGAATAGGTTTTTGACATCGCCTGTACTTCAGGAACCACTTTGTAGAGCTGGCTTTCAGTTAGATTTACAGTATAAAGCGAATCGCCAATCTTTCTCCATTAATGTAGGATTACAGTAGAAACAAGGGTTTGAGCCATTGGCCCTATTTCGCTTAAAGCAAACTAAACAATCTGAAGACTCTTACACTAAGCTAATTAGAGCCGCTAAATCTAGGTGTAAATATTACATTTTCTTTAATGCTTCTTTCATAAGTATTGCCAATTAAGCCGCAAAAGCTGTTCTTACAATGCCCCTTAACATTGTGACATTTGAAAAGCTTTACAAACTCGTAAAAAGTTTGGTAATGAAATCAGCGCGCGTGTATACCTTGGCGCACTACTTTCCAGTTTATTTGAAAACTTTTTTGGTAGACGACTTGTCCACAGTGACGCTCAAGCTAAAAATTTCTACAGTAACCTTACAGTAAAGAAGCGATCGATGATTGGCTTTAGATTGTAAATCTAAGTTGAAGCCAGTTCTGCAAGATGGTACCTGAAGGTAGGCAAAAGACTTCTTGGAAAAAGAGATATTAACGGTCAAACAGTGTGTGCGTACTTTTGAGACACCCTGTATAAAGTCCACATTTCTGCAAAATTACAGAAATTTCTCAGAATCTGGCCATATATGAGGTATTGTGGAAATGTTGGAAAGAAGTCATTAGTTTGTTAGGGTTCAAGATTGAATAGATATGTAAACATCAGTGCACAGAAGAAAGAGCTAAAGAACAAGATTTGCGATGTTATCACAATTTGTGGGCTTGCACTCTCTTCAACTCAAAATAATACCCTTTACTCTGTAGCGTAGTACGAGGTTTGTTTTTTAAAAAAGCCACAGAAGAAGTTTTAGAAAGCAAAGGCTTGGACATTACCTCGATCTTGAATTAAGGAATTTTCTGAATGTAATGCATGGTCATCGACAATAAATGGCATTTTGTGAAATGATGGAAAAAGATGGAAAAATAAAATTTACAAAAATTCAGTAAAATTTACTCATAAGACTGACGCTGTAATGTTAGGTCTAGTTTAGCTAGATATAGGGTGATAAGAATGCGTCTACAAGAATGAGTAAACAGGTTGAAACAAACTAAAGAAGGGTTTACTAGAGTAACATTGCATGGAATGAATGATTTCGCAAATGCACGTACAGCGAACCACTTCTTGACAGTTGGAAGCTTGTTAATCCTATTTCTATTGATATTCGATGTCACTGGAGTAGTGCCATGAAACTCCGTGATGAGTGCCTAGCGACATGACTATGCACGCTTCGCTTCGGCATTATGTCACTTTTATAGCAGTGAGAGTCGGGATGCTGCGCCATCAAGACACAGATCTCTCGATCCTCTGAATTTTTACGCTGCGTAAGCTCTAGTCAAAGCCTGTTTAGCTTGAAGTAACTAGATACTGGTAAGCACACGCAACAGCCGGCGATGAGTTTTCACTACATAGTCTTAGGATTCTAGCATTAGTGAATGTTTCTTCATTTCCCCGATTAATTGAAAGTCGAGTGGTTAATGGGAATATTTCAAGAGTGTCTTGTACAGAATAAGCGTGTCCCTCGGGAGAATTTTGTAGAGCAGAGACGTTTCCGTATTGCTGTAAAGCTTTTTGCGAAGCCTTTGGGGCTTCGTTCGTATAATTGCGCTCGTATTCAAGGTTATCTTTGATCTGTACTTTCACATAAAGGAAATTTTCAAATACGATGTTCTCTTTCATTCTGCTTCTATTTATCATCATTCAATCAATGGGCTCCATAAGCTTGTCTTGCGATTTTAGGTTAAGCCAAATTTGCATCTACACTTTTTATTCTTACACAGGCTTCTATCGAAGTTTCAAAGTTTCAACTTTTCATCTTCTTATTTGATTCTTGTCTTGAGGAGAAATACTTTAGTGATTATGATCGAATGAAAAGCATCATGTCAAACTCCTTGCGATGCCGCGGAGTTACCCATGGGAATGGCGAGTTTACACACTATAAATTACCAAAAGTTGCGCGACGTTTACTATAACATAAGAGCAATTTTGGCAAATAAAGAGCTCTATGGGGTTTGCAGCACAAAAATTTCAGTATGTAAATTTCTGACACTTCTCTATCTCAACTGTTTCATTTCAGGTGGTCGGATGACACTTTTATTTTTGTGTACATCTTATGTACGAGCCTGTTGCACGTTTATGGGTGAGGAACTTTACCGCCTATAGTCAATAAGAATTAAAAACATTCAATCTAAGCATAAGAGAAAAAATGGCATTTCATGTTCTAGCAAGTTGTATCAATTCTAATGAGAGCTTTGCTGTTTGCTTCCCTATTCCTGACTGTTGCAAATCATTATATATACAGCATTTCAACTTAACCGACTCAAAAGTTGTTGGATCCAAAGCATTATTTCCAAGGCAGTAGATACTTTCCGAGGGAGCAGTGCCTCGCATTCACATCAAACAGACCATAGCAATTCCCTGTAACTCTTCGTCACTCTATTACAAATCGACGGGCAGCATTCGGACATGATTAACTCATATCGCAGATGGTGAACGCTGAATAAACTCTGCCTACGAACATATGTCACATGTCTCATATGTCTTAAAAATTTGCGGACGACAAAACATGTATAAGGGAGTTGGAAGTTTTACAGAATTTTAGCGTACTTTCAAGGGTTTTTAAGAATAGCAGAAAGTCAAAGCTGCACATTAATTCAAGGTCCTATACAATGGCCATATTAAGCAACACATTCAGAAGAGATAAAAATTGTATGCCTTAGTAAGGTGCCCTGTAACTTTGTTCGAGGATGTGCAACTCTGCTTTTTGAAGACATTGGCATATCTTAAAACCGAAGAAGTCACAAAGCTTTGCATAAAAAGTGCAGGCAAGGGCCAATAATTGTCATACTCTCTATGCGTTTTGGTATACGTGAAATGATGGGAGTCTGAGTTGTTGTGCTTAGGTTGCTCACCCCATGAGGCAGCGCAAACGTGAGCTTATTATTTCCTAACCCCTGAAAATGTCGTGAAGCTCAAAAAGAGCGTCTTGAGGGTGACCGTTTTTGATCTTTTGAGTCTTTGAAAAGTTGACGCCCGAATTATCGGCCAGATTAATGAATGGTTGTGCCAGTAGTGGTTACAGCTCAGCTAAGGCAAACCATAAAATTACGCTTGGCGACTTTTTACTCAATAGTATTACGCCAAACCGCTAATGGGAACTCTTTGAATTGTGGATAAAGATATTGCCGCTGTCACTTCCCTTGTGTCACAGATTAAATGAAGTCATAAATCTGGAAATCTCATTTCCTTTTACCCCATTGATGACTAAGTTTCTTTCGCATCAAGGAGATTCTATGAGAAGAATCTAATTACCAACCAGCAGAGACACGCAAGGAAAGGGTATCACAAAGCTGGCTCTCAAACCGTACTATAACGGCATCAACGAGGCGTATGAAGCATAAGCTGCATACAAAAGAGAATTCGCTTTGATCATGCTCAATCAACTTTTATTCAGTCTATTTTGCGCTACCTGCAATAGTGTTGGAAAGATGTTTTGCGACATATTTCTTAGAGGATTACGAGAAAAAACAACGTCCGTATCTTGGACATACCATAACCTTGATGATGCTGCTCAATGCCCTAATGTGCTCATATACATTTCATGAAGGTTAGTTCTCGTTTCGTTGAAGGGAGACTTCAAATACTTGATTTTCGAAACTCTATTATTCTTTGCTTGTCATTTTTAATATAATACTTCGAATATGGTTTCCTTATGAGTGGAGATGTCGCAAACAGACAAACATCGAGTTAGGACCTCGAGGAAAACCGGGAATGTGCAAAAGCACCTCAAAATCACTTTTTTCAAACCTTAGCTTCAAGTCTAGTGCTGGAAAATCGTCCCCTCAATCTCCAAACTTACATCATGTTATTATACTTTACCATTTGTTTTCAGCCGATTCTACTTATTTTCACATTGGATGTGTACTTGTGGTCAACAGCATCGCTATTGCGGTAAGTACTCTAGTTGAAGAGCTGCACAAAAGAAGTGAAAGGATAAAGTTGAAAGAGACGGAACCCATTACATTGGCTACACCTTCATCAACCAGACGTTTGCAGGTGAACAAGTTTAATATTGACACCAATAAACGCTACTATTACGAATCCATGCAATGCAATCGCAGCAACACAACAAGAATTTACTCTTTGGGGGAACGTTATCAAATAGCACAAAATATTAAGGTGTGCAAGGTACGTAAAACTTTTAACTTTGCAAGAATGTTTAATTTCTGACAATTTACTCCACATGTGGCTCTTTGCAGTTTGTTTTCCACAGTGTTATATGGATAGGTTTACTGAATGTGATATCCGCTCTGTGCCTCGTTGTTCTTAATTTCCATATTTCAATTTACTACCGCAACATCACTGTTATAATATTCAATTTTTCGCTATTAGCGTCAGTGCCTCTATACACTGTTTTTATTTGACTTTAATTACATATAGATAATGACGGAGGATATTGCAGATATGGAATTACAATTGCGATAGTCATGTGTTGGCATAACGACGGTTTCAAAGCAGAACTGCGAGAGTTATCGAGACGCGTGAGATAGATACTCTGAGTTAACGTAGTTTATGTTAAGATAATTCTTGCAGCTATGCTCCGCTCCGAGAACGCATCCCGAATTTGTAAGTGTGGTGTCAACGATGGGCTACGAAACACACGTACACCAGCAGCAGCATGCAGCTTGTTACTTTGATATGCTCAAAAAAGACTGGTCGTGAAGAGGAGCAGGAGCTGATCGGGCCTCACTGTCTTTACCAACAGAGCGCACTTGCTAACAATCAGCTTCGTTTCAGAGCGTTCAACACCTACGCAACAATTTCCCATTTGACAGTGTATGCAATTTTAGAAAATGTTGAAAGAACTGTTGCTGCAAAATGCTATTTTGACCCCCTTTTTGGAGAGAAAGCTGTGATGAAGTTCACTCAAGCACCTACTACATGTCTTTACCGACACTGCTAGCTTTTTCCTGACCGCAAAAGATCTTTTTGAGCAAGATCTCTCTCATATTCAGATAGATATTTTTTTGTGAGTTTTAGTCATGATTTTCAACTCAACGCTTAGATAAATAGATGCAAACACTACTAAACAGAATACTTCATGAACGTAAGCTAAAACCAGTTAAACTTCTGCCCCTTTTGCCATTATTATAACAATGTAGGCAGTGACTTGGACTGCCAAAGCAGTGATGTCTCAAAGATTGCATCATGCTTCAGTATTAGTCAAACATGGCGAGATTGTCAGAGGATTGGGCAGCTTATCTTAAGAGAGCCTGTAGTTTGCGTTTAGGTAATGCTGGTATCAATATGCTCAGCAGCAGATCAGGCGGCTGTGGAAAAGCTAACGGACTTCCTTATCACCGCAACTAACTGGAGAGGGGGCACAAGGCTAAAACAAGGGGAAAATTCAAGGAGTGTGATATCCCTGTTAACTTCAGAATTTTACTTGTAGCAACGGGTCGTGTTCTGGCCCTCCCCACTAGTCCCCGCCGTGTCATTTTGGCACCGAAGAGTTTTTCGAAGGGCACAAAATAGAAAATCGTTGTACACCGCACCATCCCGTCGAAAGATGGGATGGGAAGAAGTACCTCCAAAGTGTTTGTGTTATCCATGCGGTGAATTGAGAACATAGTGTGTGGAGAGAACCAAGACTGTGATTAAGGAACCTGCGCACTAATAGGGAGCACTAGAAACCCCTGCAGCAAACGGTGGCTTAAGATCACGAGAACAAACTTCGCGCAAATCGCCGATTTGGCAGATGTTTTCAAATCTGGATCTTGCTCATAGATGATGTTTAGTGAGCAACCGATAATCTTTCAGTAAAGTTATTTTATTTCAGTGATCAGCATATTCATTCCCTTCTCCCATCTCTCTATAGCACGCTCCAGTTTCCTACTCGGAATCAATAACAGTAGCCTGCCTACGACTTTCCACACCGTCCCAATGTTCATGTGTACAAAGTTTGGTCCTCATAGGCCAAAAAATTGAAGTCTTCATTGGAATATACATGCTGGCACAGAAAACAGACTTTGAGTCAAAACTATCGCTTTGATATATCATTATAGATCACAATTAAGTCATTCTTAGCAGGAAAATATTTTAACATATATTGGCCTTTCATATAGAACCATATATGGTTGGAAACTTCAGACGCTGATTCGAGTTATGTTGTATTCAGCTACGGCATCTCATTCTGAAAAGAGTTATTTTATGTGCAAATTCGCATGCTTTCTACTAGCATTACGGTAACATCATCCAAGTGCTAATTTTACTGCAATCTCCTGTCAATGGTAAAAGATTCAATCCAATGTTATTTTAGTATCCTTATCCCGAAGCTGATTCCGAATTCATGTGTCTTATCTCAAAACGCGAATTCAGTTATTACCTGATTCGTCTCGTTAATTCAAAAAAGACTTATCAGTGACAATCAAGTTATTTTCTGGTTTCGAACAGCTATACTATCTCCTTTCAAACAAAAGCAGCAACCATACAAACTTGCCATCCGCGGCTTCCACGTGGACTGAGCACTACCCAGGAGGCGACGGTAATGATTTATCCGCGTTCAAACAAAACATTGGACGAAAGCTTGTCTTTACTACCATTAGCTTTGCAGGGCGACGCATCGCAAGAGCGGTGGGTCTCCGCTTGAAAACATGCATGTCGATGCAAGTAGCGCGCTAAGTGCGGCAGCGCTAGTACCGCACTAAAAGACACCATCCAAGCGTGCCTTTATACCGCGCCGGCGGCCGCCGCTGGCTGCTTTAGCTACCATATAAGCGCAGATCATTAGATTACTACGCTGCATGCATCCGCCTACGCGTTTCCCTTTCACGCTTTTCAAAATGTGGTACTCAGTCCCTTCTTGTAGACATCTCTCCAAATAAAAAGTCAGAAAAGTTGACTGAAATTGCGCTATCGGTGACGAACCAACGATGGATCACGAGCAGAGGTACGATAGTCGGAGCCGATTCTCCGCCTACCTTCACTTTTGAGCTGGTACAGGGTGACCACCTTCACTTTTGCGTTTGAAAATTTTTTTGCTAAAGCTCAAAAGAAGGAAAATAAGCAAAAGGAATGTAAAAGAAAGCATTAAGAGCATATATCTATGTAGTAGGTCGATCCAGACAGTAATCGCCGAGAACCAGAATTTCGAATGATAAAATAGTGAAAAATCGTGAAAAATCATTCCACTGTTACAAATCTGCTGGCTGAAGACCTCCGCAGTTGCGACTTCATAGGTTTTGAAGGGTAAGTGTTGTTATACCAGACAGTGAAAGAATCAGTTTGATTTGAGGAGTGGCCACCGAGAACGAGAATTTTGAAAAACCTTAAAAATCTTCTCAAATTTAGGTTGCTCAATGACAACTGACATTTAAACTCTTATAAATCCGGACATTGAAGGTGTGTGATTTTGCGACATCATAGGTTATGTAGGGTGAGGTTTGCCCTATCAGAATTCCTCTTAGCTGTACCGATCCAGTGAAACATCGCCGAGATCCAGGCTCTTAAAAAAGCTGGTAAAATACCGTTTTTCAGCTCATAACTTCTTCAGAGCTGCATAAATCATGTTGCGACTTTATAGGTTAGATTCTCCTCTTCAAGAGCTTTCAGATGATATATAATATGTGGGGGATTCAATGTTTCTTGCGGCTCTAACCCGGGGTGGAGTACTCCTCTTCACTAATTCTCCACCCCGCCCATTTCAATGTATTGGCGGGAGGCCGCCAGTGGAGAATTAGTGAAGAGAGGTACTCCACCCCCGGGCATATGCCGTGGGAGGCGTGAATCCCCCGCATATTATATATCATTTGAAAGCTCTTGATGAGGAGAATCCAACCTATGAAGTCGCAACATGATTCATGCAGTTCTGAAGAAGTTATGAGCTGAAAAACGGTTTTTTACCAGCTTTTTTAAGAGCCTGGATCTCGGCGATGTTTCACTGGATCGGTACAGCTAAGAGGAATTCTGATAGGGCAAACCTCACCCTACAAAACCTATGATGTCGCAACATCACACACCTTCAATGTCCGGATTTATAAGAGTTTAAATGTCAGTTGTCATTAAGCAACCTAAATTTGAGAAGATTTTTAAGGTTTTTCAAAATTCTCGTTCTCGGTGGCCACTCCTCAAATCAAACTGATTCTTTCACTGTCTGGTATAACAACACTTACCCTTCAAAACCTATGAGGTCGCAACTGCGGAGCTCTTCAGCCAGCAGATTTGTAACAGTGGAATGATTTTTCACGATTTTTCATTATTTTATCATTCGAAATTCTGGATCTCGGCGATTATTGCCTGGATCGACCAACTTTCTTCGCAGTACGTCATAAGAAAATTTACTCAATAAAATCTATAAATTCCCGCTGAGTTTTACTTCAAAACACACTATTTTCTAAACACGTTTATTTTAGATATTTATGCTGTTGTATACATAAAAAATATGCTTTGAATGTCTCTTTTGCATTTGTTTTGCTTATTTTCCGCGCACCGGCGGCAACGACTTGGAAGGATAGAATCAGTCGACGTTAACGCTCCCCCCCCCCCCCGGTCAAAACACACGTTTTTGGAAGGTGAGTGTCCGGCACTACCACCTTCACTTTTGGCCGGCCAGTGGAACCTGGGACCACCTTCACTTTTGGTGGGCCCGGCTCCCCCCATCGCACCTCTGATCACGAGTGAGTGATGAGTAGGGTCAACCGTGGGGCGTGTGCGCTGGGGGGGGGGGGGGGGGAGGGTCGTAGAGTGGTCAGGGAGAGGAGGAGGGGGACCTCGTGTCGCTAATACATCTGTGGGCCAAGTGTCAGCGAGTTTTGAGGTTTCCAAATAATGGGACATTCAAGTGAGGTGGTCATTTTCGAACATGCTAAAGTTGCTTCAAAGGTAAGTAAGCTAGGTACTTTTCCGTTATCCGAACCCATTTTCTCAAATGGCTCTTATAAAATACGTTCTGTAGTCTTAGAACAATTTTTCATAGATTTCAAAAGGACTGCCTCCCCGTCATGTGTCAGGAAAAAATTGATACGTTCTAGTCCATTTTGATATGTTTTTTCGAAATCATTTCCGGTAAGGTAAACGAGTATTTGTAATCATCTAGAAGCTGTTCAGTTGATTTCTATAAGAGCAAAACAATCTAGAACCATCATTAAAATATCTTAATTGCTTCAAGCAATGATTAAAGAAGGTATTTTCTCTTCAAATATTCACCATGCGAGTTTAGCTGGAAAGTTCTATAAATGATGGCTTGAATTACCTCCTGCTGGTTGTTTCGCCGCTTATAATGGAACCCTAGCGCACTTCTCTATTCTGGGCATGTCTAGTTTGTTCACTGATAACAGGGTGACGTTATTATGATATCAAGTTCATTTTTAAAATTGTTTACTCGAAAATGGGTACAAAAAATATTATTGACAGACATTATTGACAAAAAAAATAGGTTGAACTTGTGTTGGTAGGTAGGGCAACACAAACTCTTGGTAAAACTTGTCAAACATGTAGACGGCATGTCAAATTTTTTTGACACGTGGCAGAAGGTTGACACTCCTTCCTATGAAGTTGGGACCAGATATGGTGCAAGGAAAGAAACAATATCCTTCTTTAAAAAAATGGATCCGGATAACGGAAAAGTACCGTAAGCTACTTCTTTTTGCACTCATTACAAAGTACTACTATTTCTTTGCTCATATTAAGAATCCTACTTCAAATGACCTCCAAATTAAGTAATT